TGGGTTAACTCAGCAGGGAACCTAGCTGCTACTGAAAAGTGAGAAATCGGTTGGGGAAATGGAAAAGAAGCCCTCGTCTTCGAGCAAACAGAGAGGCCGAAAAACAGACACTACTCGAGGATGGAAAAATAAGAGGAAGGAATGCTGGAGAAGAGCTGGAGCGACGGATCTATCGAACGGTATACTTGGATTTCTCTCCTCTGCTTTTTTTTTTCTTTTCTTTTTTCCCGTAATGATTTTGTAAGGGATCAGTTATGTATCTGGCTTTGAAAAACGAACGAAAGGGAGGATTGTTTAGTTTGATATATTATACTTATGGTTTTTGTGGTAACGGCTGATTAATTTATCGTCAAGTTTATGATGGCTTGAATACATTTATTATGTTTATTTGGTTGTGTTCACCATTGTTTTGTCTGCCATGGTCATGTATGTTCAGCTCAGCATAGTGGTATTTATGCTTTTATTGTGCGGCAGAGCAAACGGCCCATTAGATGAGGATCATGCCTACATAGTCCGTACCATTACTCTTACGCCTCCTTGTTTATGATGTATAGGCCTTTCCCGTTTGCAAACCTAACATATTACTGTCAGACATCACAACAAAAAGGAATTTGTTCAGGCGGTGTTCAGTGCATTTGTCTAAAATAGACCAATATGTGGCATTACTTTTCCATTCTTTTCTGGTTGATAAAATTCAGTTTGTTTTTTATTTTTACTTGAGAAGATCAGTGATTCTCCTCATTCCAATTATGTTTTTTCATTCTGATGGGTTTCAGTTGACATGCTATAGTGGCAAATGCATTGTTGCATTGGATTTGGATGCCTTTGGATTTTGATTCATGAAATAATATGATAATGTGTAAAGCTGATGATGACTAAGGATGAGTTTCAGGGATTTGCTCATACAGTTTGCATTGTTCTTAGTCACTCTCTTTGGTTCTGATAGTGTTGATAAATGGTAACTAAATACATCGCTTGCAGTCTAAGCATATTGATCTGCTAGCTGTTTGAGCAAATGTTCCTATTCGATGATAATCTCTTGGAATGTGTTATTCTTTTACCAGCAGTGTAACTACATGTGCAGAAGTAGATTGGAACTTTGGCATCTATTTATGTTTTTTCATTATATTGATCTAAATTTGAGGAATGACATGGGGACCTAAACCATCTTGTGTTTATTGAAGTGTTTTATGTAACTTAAAAGATTCTATATTGATTTGGTATATGTGCCTTATACCCGCATCTTGATTATGAAACCAGATGTTAAATGGTTGCACATTTTATTGGGTGCACTTGCCTTCATAACATGAAATTATTTGCTCCACAATCTACACTCACTTTATGGAAGTACCTCATGATTGTTGTCCATCATGCACTTCCTGCAATGATCCACTGAAAAAAAGGAAAAGAGGATGGGGTCAGCAGGGGCCACCTCATGTCCTTTGTAAATGCTTTTGGATAACATGAAAGCATATGGGGATAACATAGCCCGGTTGAAGATGGTTTTCCTTTTACTTTTCTTATACTGACATTTGTGTGCGAATGACTGGGAGGCATCCCTCGAATTCAATAAAGAGACTTTCCAAACAGTAGACTTTGGAGGCTCTTTCTTATCTTATTACTCTTTTTGCCCCCTCATCACATGTATTCAAAATTTTCTACCCATTTGGATCTATAATAATTTAATATATTTTATTTTATTATGGATGTCTTTTTTACAGCCACTAGCACTTGAGTGCATGCAATTGAAGCCTTCATAATTAGTCTACACTACAAGGTAATGCCTTTGTATTGCTTAGTCTTTGTTATTTATTTTTTACTTCAATCTCTGAATTTAGACAAGTGCCTGTTTTTAGTGCTTGATCTGTCTTGAACAGGACTAGTTTTTAAATGAATTTTGGAGAGCCACGCATCACCTGTTATGAAAGATGATAATAAGAGTGAGTTAGCTGATGTGGCAGAATTGGGTTTTTGGGGATGAATGGAAAATTTTTAAGGAATCTAAGGGGCTTTTTACATGGTTGTGGTAATTTTCCTATTCAACTACTTCAACCATTTCGAACACCTTATGCTATGGCATTTCCTTATAGGGCATTTGAGAATTCAATCATTTATGTATGATTTGATTTTTCAAATACTGTCCAATATTTAGCCTTCATTATTTATATAACTTAACCAGATTTGACTAAAAAATCTTTTATTTTATTGGTTCTTAGATAAATACAGGAACTCAATTTGTTTATCCCTTACTATGTTGTTTTTAATAATTATCTGAACCTCTACTATGAAGTGCCATATGGTTCTTAATTCGATAGATGAATGTTTTGAAAGAACTGTTGAATCCAATAAAGTCAATGAAGAGGCAATTTCTTCTCTCAATATTGCTAGATCCCTGAACCTACTCCTCTTGCTTCATCAACTGGTCGTATTCTTTGATTTTGTTTCTCAGATTGAGAAAAATAAAAAGATTTTCTGCATTCTTGTAATACACGAAGAGCATCTGCAGTTCCAGCTTGATGCCTGTATTCTATGTCCTTTGTGAAGCCACCACATATTTCACATGATATTGCAAACATTTTACTGCTAATTTGTAACTTCTTCTTTTCTTCCTTTGACTAAAGTCTTACACTAAGTTTCCATAAAAATGAATTAAAATTCATATTACCCACAAAATAAATTAAGCAATATCTGACATCCAAAATAAATTAATCAATATCACTTATGTTGACAGGACAAAGAAGAATGGAACTGGATGAATGGGAATTAAGTGCCGAAGAATTGGATTCCATCGAAAGAGAGGCTCTACAAAGGATTGCTCAACAACAAAATTCTTATTCTATCTCTTCTTCATCTTCTCATTTAGTTTCTTTTAACAATCAGAACCCACAAAACCAAAACTCTTTTGTTCCTTCTGAAATCAGCAATCCCATCTTTTGTTCTTCTTCTACCAAGGTTAGCTTCCATTTTTTATTTCTTAATCAAAAGTTTTTAAAAGGTCACTCTTTCTTTCCATTCAACACTGAAAAGATTTTGCTTTTGTTTTTTGTGTTACCTAACTCGCTATTACATTGACTTGAATGTGCAATCTGGATGCGGCTATTGCCTTTTCCACCACTTTGTGCAATTTTCTGTTCCTCAATTTTGCTATAATATTTGATTTTTTTTTTCTCGAGCAAATGCGACCACTTTTACCACCATTGTTTTTCTTACTGATTCTTTGGAGATTGTTTTCCTGTAAAGAAAGCACCATGTGTTCTCTAACATTTGAATTTCAGGTTCAAGATTTATCTCAGGGCACCAGAGCATTACCCCCGTCAATCAAACAGCAACCAAGCACTGGTCAGTTGTTTCCTTTTCTTTTTTTTGGAAATAAACTGGTCATTTTTTCTGTCAATATGCTTTGCAACTCTGGGCACCTGCCTTCTATTATTCCTTTGTTGTCATTTCGCTTCCCTGTGTAACTTAATAAAGATTGCTTATTTGTTTTTCTTGTTTTTTTTAAGTATTTATCATAATTATAAACCTTTTACTGCCTCCTAACCAAAAAAGGTCCATTGGATATATTACCTGTTAAGCTGTTGGTTCAGACATCTATTTCTTTTTTGTTGGTGGATTATCTGTGGGGTCTTTTTTTGTGTGTGTGTGTGTTGGGGGGGGAGGGTGTTTAAGAGGTTTGACTTCTACTTTTAAGTATTATTATCAGTTTTGAAGTACTATCTAGCTGACTATTGTCTGCCATCTAAATGTACTGTACTTTTGTGTGCAACTAGATGAGTGCACAAAGGAGGTAGGGCCAAAGCTCTGTGTTAAACTTATGCTTCATGCAAGTGGTAAAATTGCTGCAAAATTTTTATATAATCAGGTATTTCTTCAACTTTTTTGAAAAATAGGCTTTCACCTTTGCTTGATGCTGATTTTACTTGTCCTCATCCTTTATCTTATGCTAGGTACTAGTAGATGCTCTGCGAAAGATTCCTTTTGCTACTTGGAATGCAAAAGAAAGGTTCCTTTTGCATCCTTGATATGTTTATGTTTCTATTTTCTATTGCTCTTCTGCATATCACTCCGTGATTGACACATTTGATGAGATTCTCTCAATGATTCTA